CCTGCCCTGGGTGGCTGGGCAGCCGCCATCCAAGGCTTGCCTGCACCTTGGGCCAGCCCTGAGTGGCTGGGAGGCTGAGGGGACTGGGGGACTTTGGAGGCAGGCACGTGGAGCGGCCAGACCCACCTGGGGGCAGGCCTGGCCATGCTACGTGCCTGCTGCCCCGGTGGGGCTGAGGGGACTACATTTTAATAGTATCCTTGCTTGTGAGGTTATTTACATCTATTGTATTTATATGGTGGAAATACTGTAAAAGGCTGCGCTATTTTGTGTTTCTTATCAACTCTGCACTTAGTGATGTCACGTTGGTAGCTTGAAACGTTAGGGAGTGACACCCAATTAGCATAATGGATAGGATGGTAGAAATACTATAAAAGGCAGTGTTATTGTGTGTTTCTTATCAACTCTGCACTTAGTGATGTCACATTGGTAGCTTGAAACTATCTGTGGTGAGAATATTACACCACAGAAATAAGCTACATGTACATAGATATTTTACTAAAACACTGTGCTACATACCATAAATACAAATGAAATACTATCTAGACAGAGAGTGAAGAATTATATTGAATGGGAAACACATTTAAACTTCCAAATAATGTCTCTTCATTGTTGGATTTTGGCAACCTCCATATGCAATAAAGACATGAGTCTACACAGGTGAATAGAGCATTATCTTGCCATTATCTCTCAAGGCTGTGCTGCATACCTTATAAGAAATGCAAATGAAATGCTATCTAGACATAGAGAGTGAAGAATTATATTGAATGAGAAACACATTCAAACTTCCAAATAATGTCTCTTCATTGTTGGAGTTTGGCAACCTCCATATTCAATAAAGACATGTGTCTACACAGATGAATAGAGCATTATCTTGCCATTATCTCTCAAGTCACACCACCTACCAGTGGTTCTCAACCGTCTGCCCTTTAAATACAGTTCCTCATGTTGTGACCCAACCATAAAATTATTTTCATTGCTACTTCATAGCTGTAATGTTGCTACTGTTATGAATCATAATGTAAATATCTGATACACAGGATGGTCTTAGGCGACCCTTGTGAAATGGTCGTTCGACCGCCAAAGGGGTCGCGACCCACAGGTTGAGAACCACCGGCCCTTGACAAAAGGTAACTGAGGTCACTACTGGGAGAGGACCTCGGGGAAGGGGCACCTTCCATGGGCTACTTAAGAGTTGTCCATAGTGTTGAATTTGTTACAAGATACATGTGTTACTGATAAAATTAGGCAAAGCGACCTTACCCAAAGACCAGCCCTAAGTACTTTCCATAGAATATACTTACTTGTAAAGTCTCTTGCAGTGGTGAAAAGATGGACTAACATGTCAGAATAACATGAGTATTTTCTTTCTTAAGAGCTTCTGAAATTGTCCGAAGACTTTGAATCTCAGCTGAGTCTGTCTAGCAGGCCTCCTCTTAGCAGACCAGTGTACTCTAAGAAAGGACTAGAATACAAGGAAGATCTCCAGCAACGTTTATTTTCAGGTAGCAACTGTGGTTTGCCTACTTGACACCAGCCAGTTTCTATGCTAGGATAAGGGCGGCGGGGAGTAAATGGTTATGCTTGTTTTTTAAAATCCTGAAAATATACTCTCTAAACCTATGTATACAAGATGATGCTGCTGCCAGTAGATTGGTGATAAGTAATTTAGAAATGAATCTTTACTGATCCCACTGGCTGAGGCAGTACCACATACAGAATCCAGGATTATTATTGCCCTTAAAGACTGTTTGGTCTTGAAGATCTCAAATTACACTGATCTTCAGTATTTCTGGTTACTTTTAAAAGTACCTGGTTCCTCACTCCAGACTCAATAACTTAGACTATCTGGGATAGTATGTCATAATGTGCATTTTTATCAAGGTTACTCAAATGATTTTGATGTTCACCCATCCAGACTGGAAATCTTTTTATCTAGTTGAACTAGAGTCATACACTAGACCCTCAGAAAAAAAAATTGCCCACCTCTGCCATATTTTCCAGAGGAGTAGCTGCTATGAATATAAAAAAGAATAAAGATTTATATCAAGATTTAGCATAAGCCTTAGCTGGTTTGGCTTAGGGGATAGAGCATTGGCCTTTGGACTGAAGGGTCCCACGTTCGATTCCCAGCAGGAACATCTGAGGTTTTTCCATTCATTTGCATATCAAATTTATATTTTTAAAATTGTCCAAAATAAATTGAATTAGATACAAGATTAAGTATAAACATTGATAACTATTTTCTTTTTTTAATTAAATCTTTATTGTTCAGATTATTACATTTGTTCCTCTTTTTTCCCCCCATAACTCCCCTCCTCCCAGTTCTCATCCCACCCTCCGCCCTCACTCCCCACCCACTGTCCTCATCCATAGGTGCATGATTTTTGTCCAGTCTCTT